AATGCTATTATTATGACATTTAAATAGCAAAAAGCCAGCTATTTTAATTGCTATTATTTTTTATTGATTTTCTCAGTGTTAAGACAATCGGAAAATTTAATAGGAATTGGTCAGCTATTTTTTGATTTTGTGATATTTGGCTCGAAAGATGATGACTTAACCCTTTGAGTATGATGATTTAACCCTTTGAGTATGATGACTTAACCCTTTGAGTATGATGACTTAACCCCCGGAGTATGATGATTTAACCCCTTGAGTATGATGATTTAACCCTTTGAGTATGATGACTTAACCCTTTGAGTATGATGATTTAACCCCTTGAGTATAACTTAACCCCTTGAGTATGATGATAGAAGGTAGTTGGAAAGTGTACAGTATGTCACACATTTAACTACCCTGTTAACTACCTCGTTCGAGCCTTAACGACCCTTGCGTCAGCTTGGTTATGAGAGCTTCCTCCAAATGCCTTATTAGAAAGACGAGAGGAATTGGAAATGAACTGTCTATCTGTCTGTCTGTTTGTTTGTTCAGTGTTGTGTGTGTGTGTGTGTGTGCGTGCGTGTGTGTGTATGTGTGGGGGGGCTGGTCATATAGCCTAGGTACAGTCCCCTTCACTTGTGTGTTTACAGGGGCTGGTCATATAGCCTAGGTACAGTCCCCTTCACTTGTGTGTTTACAGGGGCTGGTCATATAGCCTAGGTACAGTCCCCTTCGCACTGGAGATGTGTTTACAGGGGCTGGTCTGTATAGCCTAGGTACAGTCCCTTCTGAATGTGTTTACAGGGCTGGTCATATGGCCTAGGTACAGTCCCCTTCACTAGTGTGTTTACAGGGGCTGGTCATATAGCCTAGGTACAGTCCCCTTCACTAGTGTGTTTACAGGGGCTGGTCATATAGCCTAGGTACAGTCCCCTTCACTAGTGTGTTTACAGGGGCTCGTCATATAGCCTAGGTACAGATGATTGCCTGAAAGCTTTTGAAACGTTAAAGCCGACATTGGTATCTAGTTAGGGTAGAGTCTCAGTGTTTAATTAACAATATACCTGCGTTTTATCGTAAGTTAATAAGTTAAAAATATTCAAAGATCTTTAGTTAAGAGGAAAATTTAACATATAACTTTTAACAATATTGCTGTAGTGATTTTTAACTTGTCAAGGATATATATTAAATTACCGTGACTGATTGTTACCGGAAGTGCGGAGTCTAGGTAATAAATTGAGGTGTCGTAAGTGCTACTACTACTACTACTACTACTACTACTACTACTATTACTACTAGTGGATACCAGATTGAACACTATTACGTAATGTTTCACTCAAAATACATTAGATACGGCAGGTTATTATGGAGGAAATATTATGAATATAGTCGAAGGTTAATGAGAAATTTACCAGGGAGTGAAAGTTCTGCTATGGAAAGTTGCCAGTTAGGTAAATATTGAGACAGATGTTTGCTGTCTGTCTGTCTGTCTGTCTGTCTGGTGTGTGTCTGTCTGTCTGTCTGTCTGTCTGGTTTGTGTTTTCACTTTCTACAGCTAGTTTTGTCATAGTATTATTATTATTATTATTATTATTATTGCCATTATTGAATTGAGATAGTCTGGTCTCTTTTTCTCTGGCACCTGATGTTCCCCACACCCACCACACCCATCCACCCATCCACACCCTCCCCACATCATCCCACACCCTCCCACACCCATCCACACCTTCCCACACCTTCCCACACCTTCCCACACCCACCCACACCCACCCACACCTTCCCACACCTTCCCACACCCACCCACACCTTCCCACACCTACCTACACCCGCATTCTGAGGCTCCCACGCCTGTTAAGACAATCCTCTCTCAAAGCCTGACTCATTTAATCGCACCGACGAACTTCAAGAAATCCGGATTCGTATCTGACTGTAACGCAACGGCTTAAAAACGTCAACACCTCCTTCCACCTGAAGATTAGACACCCCAGATTTTGTCACGTGAAGATTAAACACCCTAACCTAACTCTAAACCTAACCAAAACTTATCCCATCCCCGTCACCAATTGTCAGCTGAATCGTGTACAGGAAACAGGTGGTTGAGACGAAAAGGTGACAGCTGGTTGAAGGTGAACCAGCTGTGAGATGCACTGAAGCGGGTACATACA